ATAGCAACAACAGTGGAATAGTTAAATAAGTTATGGCATATGAATATAACAGAATATTTTATAGCAATAAAAAGCAATGAATGATATGCAACAGCAAGGTGAACTTCACATACCAATTGTTGAGGAAAATAAGCCATACAAAAAGTTTAAAAATAGGCAATTTACATTTCGATAAAGGTTGGATTAGTACTTACCTTTTGGGGAGGGGAAAAATGGGAGGGAACACTAGGGGTCTTCTAGATTTCTGCGTTTTTTCTGTATTTTGTTCTTCACATTTTTTCAAGCTGAATACTTTGTATATATGCACCTTGTGTAATTTAAAATGTAGTTAACAAATCAAAATATAACTAATAATGTTTTAAGCATAAAGAACATAAAGTACCTTTGTTAAGGTTTAGCTTTTAGTTTGTTTCTTTTTAATTTCTTTCTTTCTTGCGTCTTTCAAGGAGATACAGAGGGTGAGCTAAAGAAAATTGGAACTTGGAACAGACGAGATGCAGAAAGTGAGAGGACACAGAAAAAATAGGAAAATGGGCAAGAGACAGTCCTTAGGCACATAGGTTGGTAGAAAACACTGAGAAGAAACGAAGTAGGGTTAGTTAGATTAATAACAATGTGAAAACCATGAAAAAAGATATTTTTTGCACTCCACAAATGTGGCACTACATACCATTCTAATTTTCTAGGTAGTAGCCAATTGACCAGGGGTTAGTAACAGTCTGTATTCTTAGGAAGGAATTTGAATCCTGAAATGATTTCATCTGGTATGCTGACTGTCCTTGTTTCATGTCCATCCTAGTTCTATGGGACGCCTTCTCCAAAATAAGCATACTGTAAAGGCTTATAGGTAACTTAAACTAAAAAAGGAAATGTATAATTAGTTTGAACAGTTTTAAAGAAAGTATCACACGAGGTATTAGGACAATGCCAAAGTTCACTGACTAGCTTTTTGCAGGTTTAATAATGATATTGCTTTCCTTCACATTATCAATCTATATTATATAGTTAAGTTATTTTACTTCAAATGTCTCCAATCGACATTTCCTTTGTATGCATATACTGAAATGATATTTAATAAAAAAGAACATCTCCTGTGTGGATTTTAAATTTCTCTTATTAAATATTTATATTTTCAAAATGTCTTTATTTAATTGAGTGAGGTGCTTGGTGCCATTTCAGAATAACCTCAGGTGGTAGGTGGTAATGACATATCAAAGATTTGACCTTTAGCATTTTAGGATTCTATTTGTCTGCATTTTCTTCTGCATTCATTTAGTCTTAATTTATATGCTATTTCTCTGTATGACTTAATGAGTAGATGTATTTGTTATAAGATTCATTAGCCAAAAAAATATATATATACACACATATATATGAATACATATTATTTCTGTGCAATCTGACCAGTGATTTTAAATTCATTTATATCTCAACTGTGACAAGTAGAAAATGCTGTGTAGAAGGCTGGTCAGTATTTGCATAAACCTCATCCATTCTCATTAAGTGCTTGGAAGAATAGACCCTCAACCTCCTAAACCAATGCCCATTCTCTTCTCACTTCTTTCAGCTTATTACATTCTTATATTTGCCTAGAGATACTTTATTTTCCAGTTCTCTATTCCTTTTAAAGAAAATTGAATGTAATATTTACACTGATTTAATTAAATTAACATCTTGCAGCATCTTTTTGTATGCTTTGGTAGCATAGTCATTTGTCTGGGTTTTCAGCCTAGAAGCAGAAAAATTATCAATTTTATATGTTGTGACATAAAAATTATTTTCATTTGCTCATTTAAGTGTTTATTGATTTTTAGAATTAGAGATTCTAAATGGAGGTTTTTGTTAAATAGATCATAGATCACTCAGTCTACATTACTTATCTTTAAATTATTTTTTAATATTTTCTCAGTTTACACAAATCTTTATCTCAAGAAGAAAATCTGAAGGATCAGTTTAACTATGCCCTGAGTACATATGAAGAAGCTTTAAAAAACAGAGAGAACATTGTTTCCATCACTCAACAACAAAATGAGGAACTGGCTACTCAACTGCAACAAGCTCTGACAGAGCGAGCAAATATGGAATTACAACTTCAACATGCCATAGAGGCCTCCCAAGTAACCAATGAAAAAGTTCAAAAGTAAGTTAAATGATCTTTTAATACTTCAAACACATGAAACAAAACAAAACACTTTCTTTTGGGAACTAAACAGTACGTATTTATTGATCATATTAATAGTTTAAGACAAAAGTAGAATTAACCCAGTAAACTTTTTTAGATTGGATACCAGATGCCATATTTGGGGTCAAAAAAGTCATTTTCTTGGGAACTAATGTTACCATGTAGGGCAGACCATTTTTATTTAATAACTGATCATCAGTTCGTGGAGGCCATACTATTTAAATCATTTCACAGTCCCAAGTTAATAGGCAAAGTTATTAGCAAGGGGAAGAGGCAGTCAAGTTACCACCTCAACTCATTCAGCTTTTCAATAATCCTGCTTGAGTTGAGATCATCTGTGACATTGCAGTCTGAGACTTGTAGATGCATAAAAACCAGTAGGGTGAAATTAATTTTCTTGTGTTGCTCTTCTGAAGTATTCAATACTGCTTTTCACAGTGCATAATTATATGTGTTTATTTTGAATGATCTTTGCATTTTTATTAAAATTTAAATTAAGCTGCATAATCTGTCAGTCCTTTTGACAGCTAGCAAAATGTTAACAAATAGCTTACCAGGCAAAGAAGTCACTTGTTAATTTATTGGACTTGAACATTGTAGCAGAATTTTCTGAGACACCTTTAATGTAATAGAACCACTGTAATAGAATACATAGAATACATGTAATAGAATATATTTTAACCTTCTTTATGTATTGTTAACAGCATTACAGCATTCACATAGCTAGTCACCTTCAATTTCAAAGATATACCTTTTTACTTAACAATTATTTTGTCAGTTTTACACTATGAAGCAGTGCTCACATCAAGGTTTCTTACTTCCCAATACTTCTTATTTGAAAATGTCATCTCGACCATTTCCTCAATATCCCCAAAGTTATATTTTGATTAATAGCCAAAGTTATGTAAGTCAGTAGTTTTAAAATAGACCATTTTAAAACAGTTTAGAATTTGTGCATTTTAATCTTTACTACCAGTGTACCTTGAAACGTTTGATTTGTGTAGGTATTATATATATTTGTAAGTTTAAAGATTGGGTTTGTATTCAGCCATAAACTATATCTAGTTATTCACAATGTACATTATATTCTAAGAACACGATGATGTATAGGTAGATCTCATTTCATTGTAAATCACAATCAGTAACTTTTGACAGGATCTGATTTGGCTCTGTTTGCTTAAAGTCTACAAATAAATACAAATTTCAAAGGTTTCTTTATATGTAATCCTTCAATTTCTATACATGACCAAAATTCCCTAAAACAGTCATTCCCACAGACCAATTTGATTTTCAAAAAATCTTTGGATGTGTTATTAACCTTTTATTTTTTAGATCTCATCAACTATCATCATCATTTCATTAAAAAAATTTTTTTTATACACCCAAAAGTAGAAATAGCATTGTCTCAGATAATGTTTTAAATTAAATAACTTTACTGAATGGCCAAGATGACTGAATAGGAACAGCTCTAGTCTGCTGCTCCCAGCATGATCGACACAGAAGATGGGTGATTTCTGTATTTCCAACTGAGGTACCTGGTTCATCTCATTGGGACTGGTTAGACAGTGCATGCAGCCCACAGAGGGCAAGCCAAAGCAGGGCAGGGCATCACCTCACCCAGGAAGCACAAGGGATCGGGGATTTCTTTTTCCTAGCCATGGGAAGCTATGATAGACTGTACCTGGAAAATCGGTACAGTCCCACCCAAATACTGTGCTTTTCCCACAGTCTTACCAACCAGCAGACCAGGAGATTCTCTCCTGTGCCTGCCTTGCTGGGTCCCACACCCATGAAGCATGACTCACTGCGAGCATGGCAGTCTGAGATCCACCTGTGAGGCTGCAGCCTAGTGGGGGCAGGGGCATCTGGCATCTGCCATTGCTGAGGCTTCAAGGTAAACAAAGTGGCCAGGAAGCTTGAACTGGGTAGAGCCCACCGCAGCTCAGCAAGGCTTACTACCTCTATAGACTCCATCTCTGAGGGCAGGGCATAGCTGAACAAAAGGCAGTGGACAACTTCTGCAGACTTAAATGTCCCAGTCTGACAGCTCTGAAGAGAGAAGTGGTTCTCCCAGCATGGCATTTGAGCTCTGAGAATGGACAGACTGCCTCCTCAAGTGGGTCCCTGACACCCCTGTAGTCTAACTGGGAGACATGTCCCAGTAGGGGCCAGCAGACACCTCATGCAGAAGCTTCCAGGGGAAGGATCAGGCAGCAATATTTGCTGTTCAGCAGCTTCTGCTGGTGATGCCCAGGCAAACAGGCTCTGGAGTGGACCTCCAGCAAACTCCAACGGACCTGCAGCTGAGGGACCTGAATGTTAGAAGAAAAACTAACAAACAGAAAGGAATAGCATCAACATCAACAAAAAGGACATCCACACCAAAACCTCACCTGTAGGTCACAAAAATCACAGACCAAAGGTAGATAAAACCACAAACAGGGGGAAAAAGCAGTGCAGAAAAGCTCAAAATTCAAAAAATCAGAGCACCTCTCCCCCTCCAAAGGAACGCAGCTCCTCACCAGCAACAGAACAAAGCTGGATGGAGAATGAATTTGACGAGCTGACAGAAGGCGGCTTCAGAAGGTTGGTAATAACAAAATTCTCTGAGCTAAAGGAGCATGTTCAAACCCATCACAAGGAAGCTAAAAGCCTTGAAAAAAAGTTAGAAGAATGGCCAACTAGAATAAACAGTGTAGAGAAGACCTTAAAGGACCTGATGAAACTGAAAACCATGGCACGAGAACTTCATGACACATGCACAAGCTTTAGTAGGCGATTCGATCAAGAGCAAGAAAGGATATCAGTGATTGAAGATCAAATTAATTAAATAAAGTGAGATGACAAGATTAGAGAAAAGTAAAAAGAAACAAAAAAAGCCTCCAAGAAATATGGGACTATGTGAAAAGACCAAATCTACGTTTGATTGGTGTACCTGAAAGTGACAGGCAGAATAAAACTGAGTTGGAGAATACTCTTCAGGATATTATCCAGGAGAACTTCCCCAACCTAGCAAGGCATGTCAACATTCAAATTCAGGAAATATAAAGAACACCACAAAGATACTCCTTGAGAAGAGCAAACCCAAGAAACATAATTGTCAAATTCACCAAGGTTGAAATGAAGGAATAAATGTTAAGGGCAGCCATGAAGGTTGGGTTACACGCAAAGGGAAGCCGACTTTCAGCTGATCTCTCAGAGGAAACCCTACAAGCCAGAAGAGAGTGGGGGCCAATATTCAACATTCTTAAGGAAAAGAATTTTCAACCCAGAATTTCATATCCAGACAAACTAAGCTTCATAAGTGAAGGAGAAATAAAATCCATTACAGAAAAGGAAATGCTCTGAGATTTTGTCACCACCAGGCGTGCCTTACAAGAGCTCCTGAAGGAAGCACTAAACATGGAAAGGAACAATTGGTACAAGCCACTGCAAAAACATGCCAAATTGTAAAGACCACCGATGCTATGAAGAAACTGTATCAATTAATAGGCAAATTAACCAGCTAACATCATAATGACAGGATCAAATTCACATATAACAATATTAAATGTAAATAGGCTAAATGATCCAATTAAAAGACCCAGACTGGCAAATTGGATAGTCAAGACCCATCAGTGTGCTGTATTCAGGAGACCCATCTCACATGCAGAGACACAAATAGGCTCAAAATAAAGGAATGGAGGAAGATCTACCAAGCAAATGGAAAATTAAAAAAAAAGCAGAGTTTGCAATCCTTGTTTCTGATAAAACAGACTTTAAACCAACAAAGATCAAAAGAGACAAAGAGGGCCATTATGTAGTGGTAAAGGGATCACTTCAACAAGAAGAGCTAACTGTCCTAAATATATATGCACCCAATACAGGAGCACCCAGATTCGTTACAGGAGCACCCAGCTTCATAAAGCAAGTCGTTAGAGACCTAAAAAGAGACTTAGACTCCCACACAATGATAATGGGAGACTTTAACACCCCACTGTCAATATTAGACAGATCAATGAGAGAGGAGGTTAACAAGGATATCCAGGACTTGAACTCAGCTCAGCACCAAGCAGACCTAGTAGACATCTACAGAACTCCCCCGCTACAAAAAAATCAACAGAATATACATTTTCCTCAGCACCACATTGCACCTATTCTAAAATTGACCACATAATTGGAAGTAAAGCACTCCTCAGCAAATGTCAAAGAACAGAAATCACAGCAAACTGTCTCTCAGACCACAGTGCAATCAAATTAGAACTCAGGATTAAGAAACTCACTCAAACTGCACAACTACATGGAAACCGAACAACCTGCTTCTGAATGACTACTAGGTAAATAATGAACTGAAGGCAGACAAAGATGTTCTTTGAAACCAATGAGAACAAAGACACAATGTACCAGAATCTCTGGGACACATGTAAAGCAGTGTATAGAGGGAAATTTATAGCACTAACTGTCCACAATACAAAGCAAGAAAGATCTAAAATTGACACCCTAACATCACAATTAAAAGAACTAGAGAAGCAAAAGCAAACAAATTCAAAAGTTAGCACAAGGTAAGAAATAACTAAGATCAGAGTAGAACTGAAGAAGATAGAGACACAAAAAACACTCCAAAAAATAAATGAATCCAGGAACTAGTGTTTTGAAAAGATCAACAAAATTGATAGAACACTAGCCAGACTAATAAAGAAGAAGAGAGGGAAGAATCAAATAGCTGCAATTAAAAATGATAAAGGGGATATCACCACTGATCCCACAAAAATACAAACTACCATCAGAGAATACTATAAACACCTCTATGCAAATAAACTAGAAAATCTGGAAAAAATGGATAAATTCCTGGACACATACACCCTCCCTAGACTAACCCAGGAGGAAGTTGGTTCTCTAAATAGACTAATAACAGGCTCTGAAATTGAGGCAATAATTAATAGCCAACCACCAAAAAGAGTCCAGAACCAGACAGATTC